AAACACTGCAAGGTGACCTCATTGCAACCTTTCAGTACCTAAAGGGAACCTATAAACAGGAGGGAGTCAACTCTTTGAAAGGGTAGATAACAGCAGAACAAGGGGAAATGGTTTTAAGTTGAGGGAGGGAAGATTTATGTTGGATGTCAGGGGGAAGTTCCTTACTATGAGAGCGGTGAGGTGCTGGCACAGGCTGCCCAGAGAGGTTGTGGATGCCCCGTCCCTGGAGGTGTTCAAGGCCAGGTTGGATGGGGCCCTGGGCAGGTCTAGTATTAAATGGGCAGGTTGGTGGCCCTGCCTGTGGCAGGGGGGTTGGAGATTCACGATCCTTGAGGTCCCTTCCAACCCAGGCCATTCTGTGATTCTGTGATTTTTAAGTGCTGATATATTTTTACAGCCTTCAGTTTGCTCATGTATGCCCTTCTATTTTGTACCCACCAATTTCCCACTCTGTCCTGCAGCATCAACCCTTCTGTGACCATCCACATCTGTTGCCATCCTGTCCCAAAGGTAAGGTGATATCCCTTTTCTCTCTTCCTCCTTTCCACAAGATAGATCTGAAAGAAATCCAGCTCTCCCTCTGTGTGTGCGAGGACTTGGCTTTACTGTGGAATTTTTGCTCCTGCAGACCTCCAGCCTTGCCTTCAGGTGACCAAAGCCTGGCACAGCAGATCAGCCTCTGTTGAGAAACTTCGCAGAGAGAATGGATTGAGGACATACTCCAGGATGAGCCACAGGATGTCTTCAAGCCACAAGTGCCTTGGGATTGCTGATAGCAGGGACCAGCTGCCTATGGTAAGTATTTGCTGGACTGAGTGGGCTTACACACTTGTTTACTTGCATGGGACTGCACGAAAGGGACCTGTAGGCCTCATGACTGCACTGACACCAGCATTTCCAGAGAACAGATCACAGAGACCCTGTGCAAAGCCATATCAAAACATCCATCTTCAAGGGAGGGATTTTCCTTTTCCTCTAATTTTGCCCTTCTCCTTCCTCTCCTGTAACATGGAATCTAGGTGACTATTAAAGATAACTAGATTTAGGCCCACAAAGTATTGAGGCTTTCCCATCTACTTGGATTGAAGAGCACATCTACTTGGATCTACTTTTGATTCCCATCTACTTAGATGAAGAGTTTTGAGTCTATTTTCCTTGTGAATCTCTGGATTAACAAGGTATGGGAAAACAGAGAAAAAATGCCCCACCTTACACAACATAAGGTATAAAGCAAACCTTTAAATAGATTCAGCAACATTCTGGAACTAGCTTTACTAGTTGTACAGGTTTTGTAGCTTATAAACTGGAATTGATCATTGCTCACTTTTTGCCATCTGTTACTGGAAATGGCTTTGCATTTCTGGGAGTGTTTACATTGCAATATATCCACACAATATCTGAAAGCTTCCGTTTCCTGCAGACATTCCAGGTCTACTAGAAATAAATATTCTTATATTAAAATACATACCAAAGTTGCTGTTTCTCCACGTTGCTCTTCATGTTACCACAATTTCAGATACTGAGATTCTATCTGAATTATGGGCACAGACACACGGTGAAATACAGCTGAGTTATGGCAGCTTAAAGAACTGCTCTTCTGCTTTGCACTTTGTACCTCATCCTAGGAGGATTAAAAATACACCACTGGCCATTTGTGGATGAGCAGAGAACTTTGAAATTAAATAGCTGTGAGAACAGGGATGACACATACAGCAGATTGGCCAAGTGAGATTGGTGCAGAAAGCAACTCTGGAGGTACCACCACTCAAAGAGCAGGCAGGAACTTGTTCTGTTGCCATTTCACACCATTACCAAATGCCCATAAACATTCTCTACTAACTGTGGCCTCATGCATAGGCATTCTGCCCATACACACATCTGTTTCATTTACTGTCTGCTGGAGTGGTTTGTTTCATGAATAGATTTCCTGCGCTGCTGCTTATCATCAAAGGGTCTCACTTCCTCACAAACATCTAAAGCAAAGATTCATGTTTTGAATTTTTTTTTCTAAGCTTTCAAATTACAGGATGAGTGGCAGAAGAGTGAATACCAACAATTATATTTCTGAAGTGTTCTGCATTCCTTATCTTTGAATACTTTCATTAGAGAGAAAAGTATCACACTGCTTTCACAGACACAGTATTGAAACACCTGAAGTAAAACTTATTTAAGCTTCCCAGCTGTCTGGCATTTAAAATTCTCCCCTCAGACAGAGACCGCTGGATCCCTATGCTTTGGCAACCAGAACAATGAAAGTGTTGCCCTGTTTTGTAGCAAACACCCGGGTATAGTTTGGTGTAGTTTAGGCAGTAATGAAAAAGCAATAAACTGACACATTTTTCTTCTGGTTAAAAGCAGGTAAACTGGCTGTCACCCAAATTACACCAACTGCTAATGATGTTTTGTCACAGTGGTGACAAAGCACCTAAAGGCTTGAAATTTTTATCAGTGAAATTTGCGACCAACTGCTGGTCATACAATAAATGTATTGCAAAGTTAAATTATCCCAAGTCCGAGCGAATTTTCACTGTTTTAATAAAATCTGCAGAATTTTTCATTTTGATGCCACCATTAACTGCAGCATTTGGGGCTTAAGGCTTCCTTATTTTCACTTTAAAAACAAGAAATATCCCCTGTCATAGTTTTAGTCATTTATTAACAGATGTTATTTTCTCATGTGCCATCTTAGAGTAACACTTCCTACAGAAATAACTGTATATTATATATTTGGAAAACTAATTCAGAACAGTGTTGTCTCTAATTCCTTCTTGCCCACTCATAGCTCCTTCTCCTTTTTGCTCTATGCTTTCCATTTAAATTTATTTGTTCCATGCTACCACTTAAATTATTTACACACCTAGGTTTTAATGTTGCTTTTCATTTGCTAACAACAAGCAGCAACTACTCCTTCAGATTTTACCTTTATATGACTTGCAGATGAAGACAAAAAATGCCTCTTCTCTGGTGACTGGAAACCATTGTTTTCACAGATGTCCTAGCAGAAAGGCCAAAATCAGAACTGACAGGTGCTGATGAGGTTCCCAGACCTGCAAACACCTATTAACAAAGCCTACTGGAAAACGGAATATTAAAAACCCAGCAAGCCCATGATGTGCAGCTCCAGCTGGGCAATTCTCCTAACTAGAAAGCAAGCATCACCAGCACTGTGCTATAGTTCCACACTCCTGCTGTTGCCCTACACTGGAAGTAGAAGAGCTGTCCATTTTCTCAGCAAGGTGATGAGAGCCAGGCACTGACCAAGTTACCCATCAGAAAGGGAATATCCAGGCAATGGTGTGCGATGCCTTGTCTTCAGCACCAGCACAGCTCACAGCAGGAAAAGGTGAACCAAGAGCTCACTCTGGTGGCCTGGTGCCCATGGTAGGGCCATCTGGTGCTACACTGGAGGGGCAAGGAGGCCTCAGTGAGGTCCTACTCATGGTTTTGGCTAAAGCACAGGTCCCGTCAGCTAACAAACCATGTAGAGCCACGCCATTGTTGAAGACAGGCTCTAAAAACTTAGCCAGCTGAAGATGTTCTTTGTATATGTTAAACTGACAAGCAAAGGGCAATTAAACATCCCTAAACAGATTAACATCCTTCAACCAAGGACATCCTGGAGCAAGTAGGCCTTGAGGAACACATTACTCAGGATGTTTTAGGAGCATTGCCAATTCAGCAAGAAAACTGGAAAACTAAGAGACTTTTAATTGAAATACCATCATTACAATCACTCCCACAGACTCTTTTGTTATTTGCCCCTTGACATGCACAGTTGCAAAAGGATTGTTAGCGATATTATAACTGTATGTAACTTACTGACCAGTCATCATAAAGAAGATGGAAAAACTAATGACTTTTCAAGCTTCGTGTATAAATACAGCATGGATAGTCCTGTTTGATTTGTAGGGAACTACTCAGCACCCAAATCAGCACAAATCTGAACTAAATAAGAAATGTCTCTCCTGAGTGTGTGATTACTGACTTGTTGTTATGCATCTGCTTCTTGGATAACACTATCACCAGGTAAAACCCCTTACTTGTATATTGTGTTCTGAGTTGGGTTCAACCAAGAAAAAAAAAATGGTTTTGAGATTTGGGGTGAAATTATTTCTCAGATGGACTTCTGTATGGCACAAGCTTTGCCTTCAATCCTGTAAGCAAGTTATTTTCTTTCTCCAGATAATAACTTCTAGCACCCTGTCTAATGCAGTATGACTGAATTACAGAACCACAGAATCATAGAGGTTGGCTCTCTTAAGATCACCTAGATCAACCACCGACCCACCCCCACCATGCCCACGTCCCTCAGTGCCACATCCACACGGCTCTTGAACACCTCCAGGGACGGTGACTGCACCACCTCCCAGGGCAGCCTGTGCCACTGCCTCACTGCTATTCCTGAGAACAAATATTTCCTAATATCAACCTGAATCTCCCCAGCAAAACCTGAGGCCACTCCCTCTTGTCCTATTCCTGCTACCTGGCAGGCCAACGCCACCTCATCACAGCCTCCTTTCAGGTGGTTGTGGGGAGTGATGAGATTCCCCTCAGCCTCCTCTTGCCCAGACTGAACAGTTGAGCTGTTGGAGGCTTTTCTAGATTAGAGGTACAGCTGTATTTTACAAGCTCAAAAGGAAGTTTGTTTCATAGTCCTCTCCTGCCCTCAGAGCATCGGGCCCTCTGCTGCCCCTGCCAAGGACACATGAGGCTTCCATATCGCCAGGACCGAGCCCCATTGCCAGCAGGACCCCACAGCCCCCTCAGAAAATGGTGGCGGCAACTATCACCATCCACGGGAACGCCTGATGACCGGAGCAAGGCTTGCTTAAGGTCAGATTGTCAGCCCAGGAAAACCTACACTTTTCCCCATGCGTGAACGAACAGCCCGGAGCAGCAGGGTGCGGCGCGGGGCCGTGCCAAGGCGGGGCATCGCGGACAACTGGCCTCTCCCCTGCCCGTTCCGGCTGATGGCCCGGTGAGACGGGGATCAGTGCCTGCGGTCAGAGGAGAACGGAGGAGAGGGGAGGAGGAGGAGGAGGAGGAGGAGCAGCAGCAGCAGCAGCAGCAGCAGCAGCAGCAGCGGGGGACGGCGGCGGTCAGGGGGTGGGCGGCCCATCCCGGTCCCAGCGATGTGGCAGAGGCGGCACTGTGAGTAGCAGTCCCTCAGCGTTCCTCTGTCTGGTTCTCCCAGAGCGCAGCTTTCCCCGGCTGTCAGCTGCCTGCGGTACGAGCCTCTGGGAAGCATCATACTGCGAATCCACGCCGGATTAGTTTTTTTTGTTTTTTCTTTCGATCAGCAGAATTTAATCTCAAGCCTCCAGGTGCCTTTTTTTTTTTTTTCTCCCCTTGAATGTCGGCCTTGGAGCAGCGGGTATGTGTTGGTGAGGCGTGGCAGCGCCAGTCAGGTCAGCTAAGCACAAACAGAGGTGTGCTGTGCTTACGCTGCTGCCAAGGTACGAGTGAGCACCTGAGCAGAAAGGAACCGGAGCTGCTGGAAAATGGGACAGGTGTTTTCCGAGGTCTTCCCGACGTGCCCTTCTCCACCACCACTTCATCTTTCCACGTGCTTTCATCCTCCTATGCCTCTCTGCCCCTTCGGCTCAGTATCTGCCTGTCACAGGCCAAGCGCCTCTCTGTGGCATGCGGTTCCCTCACACCTCTGAGTGCTGCAGCCATGCTGAACCACAACCTTTCAGCTCAGCGTGAGCGCAGCCTTGCTTCTGTGAATGTAGACCCAGCTTCTCATTTTATGAGTGCTGCTTGTAGCAAGTCTTAAGTTCTCTTCAGTTTGAGTGTATGGTTTAGCTGCTATGGGTTTTTATGCATTTCTGTGTGGGGAATTTATAATATGCGTGGTATATGTGTCTTCAGTAAGTGAAGACCCAGTGGACTCCACTGGTGCCTTCAGTGCAGTCCCCCACTGGCTTCTGAATCGCCAGTGGCAAAGCCAGAAGTTCACTGGCAATGTTCTACAACAGTTTTCTGGACTCCATCCCTCCATCACTCAAGGCCAGGGCAGCCTGAGCTGGTGGGAGGCAGCCCTGCCCATGGCAGGGGTTGGGGTGGGTGGGCTTTGAGCTCCCTGCCAGCCCAAACCATTCTGTGATTCTGTGAATTCCCTTTGCCTAATATTGCAAATGTTGCAAATGGCAAAATGTGTTCTCTCTCTGAAGATTCCTGTTATATAACTTTCTCTGTCATAATCCTTTAACTCTTAAATACAGTGGCACAGAACATCTTAAGAGCTTAGACCATCTTGAAAAGATGATGTACTGTCCTTATTGTTTGTTTTTATTTATAAAAAAGATGAGAAACTGTATAAATAAAACTTCAAATGTTCATAATGATCTGCACTGCCCCTCACTGAGATTCAAATGTTGAAGTACAACTGTAGCTCAGATGTTAAGCTGACACCTCTGACTCAGAGGACTTCCTAGTTCTGTTGCTGTTATGGAGAATAGGGTGTGTTTGTGATTCTTCTTAGTAATATTCAGAGTTAGTGTTACAACTATTTTCTGTTGAGTTTTGTTATTTTTGTGTGTGTGTTTTGGTGGAGTTTTTTTAGGTACAATACAAGAACAGTATCATGCAGTAGTTGATACAGAGGCTAGAGAAGTCAAAGCTTTGTACAAGAGAAGATCTCTTTGTGTAGTATTATAAACTGAACTTGAGGCAGTAAATTCTACTCTCAAGATAAATATCAAAACTTCCTTTTGGTGTGAATAAACGTAAGCAGAGCCTCCAGAATGGGCACATTGTACTATCATGTCCATTCTGCACTAACAGATGCAGACAAGTCAGGCAGTCAGTGTGAAAGAGGTAAGACTTGCAAAGCAAGACTTGAGGAGAACGAGTGAAGAATATGACCTCATTCTACAGAGGGGATAAGCAGAGAAGGTACAGAAGTCTTAACGGTGGTAAAAGCCAGGGTTTCCCAATTCCACTGTGATATTTCACTGTTTAACATCATAACTCAGGTAATGTATCCCTTCTAAATAAGGAATGTGTCTTCAGTGTGCTCATCCTGATGGACCCTGCCTCCTGGGATTGGCAGGTTCACTAGCTCGGCTCAGGGATCACCAGTACCCATCAGTGATGTCTGTCACTTGGTCTCTGCACAGCTGAGCCTGCAAAGTGGAGTTTTTGAGCCCTCCTTGGCTGTGCCAGTCAGTGTGAGGGGAAGGCATGGTGAAAATGGATGATTGTGCTGCAACAGCATGGCCCAGCCTGCGCTGCAGCCGGCCACTGCCCCATGCTGACATGGTGGTGGCTTTGCCCCACTGAGAGGCCCAGCCTGGCCCCAGACACACATCCATCACTCAAAACAGCCTCACAGCAATGTGCGATCCACACTGCTGGGGCCAAAACCAGGGCATGGGGAGGGTGCAATCTGTGCTAACAGATTATGGGAAAATAATCATATGCATTTTGATACGTTGGCTAAACACAGTCCTGTGAAAAGCAAAAAATACACAGCTTTGCTGTCCATTTCAATAAATTTGAGAACAGATTTTAAGACTGCCAAGAACCAGACTGATGTGTTATTTTCACTAAAGGTCATTAGTTTAGAATTAGCTTTATTACTTATATATATTATGTATTTTATATGTGGCCCAAGACAATTCCTCTTCACTTAGTGTGATGCAAGTAGTCCGAAAAGGTTGCACACCTGTGGTTTAAACCATTATTTTAGTGTCTACGCATAACACAAAAACAGCAGTAATTGTATGCAACCTATATAGTCATGTATGATATCTGGTACTAATTTTTGAATTGAATTTCATGTCTCCTTGCAGTATCATAACTATGGGTTGAGGGGATCTGGTGCAGAGCAGGGGGTGAGTTTTCTTCTCAAAGATGAAGTTTTCAAGATGAAAGGAATTGTGAGAGATGATTGTGCAGCTAGTGCTCTGTCACCATATCACCAAAGGCAAGGTTAACACAGTGGTAGAAAAAAATAGCCGTTTTTGTAGCAGTGCCAGAGAAAATACTTTTGTGTGTGTGTGTGTTGCTATGGGTACATCTTTATGTCTGTGTTTTTCTTCTTGGCAGATTTTGTGAAGTTATCAGGGCTCTTGTTGGCATCATTGTTTGCTTGGTACTTGGGATACTTATTTGCTGCTCATTTATCACAAGAGACACTGTTGACATCTATAGCTTATCTTCAAGACATTGGAAAGAAACCAGTGTTGAGGGGTATGTAGTTGTATTTTTTTTTTTCCTTTTATCTAATGTTCTCTATTTATTTGTTAAATTAAAAAGGGCTTACAATCATAAAATCACTAAGATCACCCAGTCCAACCACCAGCCCACCCCCACCATGCCCACGTCCCTCAGTGCCACATCCACACGGCTCTTGAACACCTCCAGGGACAGTGACTGCATCACCTCCCTGGGCAGCCTGTGCCACTGCAGCACTCCTTCTTCTAAGAATAAATTTTTCCAAATATCTGACCTAAACGTGCCCTGGTGTAACTTAAGGCCATTACCTTTTGTCCCCTTGTTACCTAACAAGCTATTATAAGAATGATGTTGTTTGGATGTTGTTAGGACCAGAGGGAATGGTTTCAAGCTACAGCAGGGGAGATTCAGGCTGGACATGAGGAAGTATTGCTTTTCAGAAAGGGTGGTCAGGCACTGGAATGGACTGCCCAGGGAGGTGGTGGAGTCACCGAGCCTGGGGGTGTTCAAGGAAAGGCTGGATGTTGTGTTGAGGGACATGGTTTAGTAGGAGCTATTGGGAATAGGTGAATGGTTGGACTGGATGATCTTTTAGGCCTTTTCCAACCTTGGTGATTCTATGATTCTATGGATAAAGTGAATTCATTTAATTAGTGTAAATCTGGACGACTACTTATGCACTATTTTGAAGAAACATAATGTCATCTGACATTTGCCAGAATGCAAATATTAATAATTGACTAGTAATCTAATAACACCTTATTTGTTTGTTAGCATGTAAGCATAAGCAATTTGCAAAGCTGCTGCTGAAGCTTTGACTGTATCTTAGGTGTTTTTTAGAGTTTCCGTAACTGGTGGAATCACTAGCCAAAGTTTGTGATGTGGTTCTCTTTTTTTTTTTTTCCTTCTGATCTGATGGACTTAATGTTTTTTTCATTCTATGACTGTTATTGTGTGAAAAATGTTTAGAATTGTGACAGTCAGCTTCAAGCTATCTGCAGGAATTCTTTATCCACACAGCCTTTGTTTACCTTTAATAGAAATAGTACAAAATAGTATGATCTGATTTGAATCGAAAGTATATGGAATTATTTTCTCTAGGCAAGTTAGCTCTTCTACCCAGCAGTGTTTTGAAAGCCAACAATAACCCAAAACCCAAGCAAATCTGTGAGAATGTTGCCACAATACTGGAAAACTGACAGTGTTGGCCTCTGTGTATATAAGTGTGAGCTTAAATATTAACGTGTTGACGCTAAGTGATTCTTTCCATGTAGAAATTGCTTATGTAGCACTCAGGAAGACTTCCTCATCTTTGCTGTTGTAGCCCCACTCCCCAGAAGGCAGAAGTGTGATCACTGGTCTCCCTGCTCACCAGGGAGCTATGCCTATCGGATTCTTAGTGGTGGTGGCAAAGAAAAGCTGGCTAAAATCTGTTTTGAGGATGAGCTGTAAGTACCAGACTGACTTTTAATATACGTCAATACTTTGTAGTATAAAAAAGGATCTTGCATTTGGTTCACTAGCAAGTAAGCTCCTAGGGAAAGAAAAGACCTCTTCAGTAAAATTACATGCAGAAAAAGGTCACCGTATATTCCCTTTTCAGTTAGTAAGTATGCCCTAGGTCTCTTAGGAACAAGTGAGTTTTTCCTCCTGTTCCTATTTTCCTTTTTATGGCACTCCTTCTGCAGCATGATTTGAATTCCATCTTAAATACAAATTCTTCTCTGCTTCATTCTGGTGAGCTTTATGGTGATGATTCAAACTGAGACAATTCATTTCCATGGAACTCTGGCCTAAAGTAGAGACTTAACAGCACTGAAGAGCTAAAGATAACGTGGAGATAGTGACTTTGAATATATGCTTATAAATGTGTTTTTTAAAGTTGTTTTAAATTTTTCTCCTCTTCTTGTGTGTTCTGCCTTTGGGATAGCACATTGCTGCCGTGTGGGTCTGTACTGTTTTTGCAGAAGGTTGTATTTTCCTTTCACAGACACTGTAGTTTCTATGTAGTATACTTGCCTTTGCTCAGTATCTGGTCTGTTTGATTGGCTTTCTCTCATATCCTGGGCTGACTCAACTTTTTTATTGATAGGTAGATGTAGGTTTTGAGAAGCATGTCGTCTGAGTCATTTAAACCTAGATCAAAAGACTTGTATGTTGATGTTTTATTGGTGGTAAACATCAGCATATATCTGATAATATTTAACTTTTTTTTTTTTTTTTAAATACATACATCTCAGGTTATTGTCTTTATTCCTGTAGATAAGCTGTTTTCAGCTGTTGGTTTCAATTATGATATTTAGTTTTAGTCACTCAGGACATATATTGAGTAGTCAGCACCTTCTGAAAGGCAGGTTTGTTCCTCCTTTTTCAGATCGGACAAGTAAAGTGACTTTAAATCCTTAAAGTGATCTTTCAAGTAGATACAGCCACATGGCTTACTATCATAAAAATGAACCCACACATTTGTTATGTTTTTCTTTTTTATCTTTCTGGATGGATTTGTACAAAGCACTTTCTCGATCTGGTTCATTTTGCAGAACTCATTAAGTATCTTTGAAGGAAATGGACTGGTGTAACATGCTTACTACTAGCTCTTGAATTAGATAAATGAAAAAGTTTGAACACCAGGAAATGGCTTAGCATTGGTAAATCTGAATCAGAGTCTCTGGAAGGATGAAATCTACTGATACAGCACTTCTTTTCAATTCCAGGCTTATAAGTGAAGAAAAGGGTAATGCTGGAAGAGGTATAAACATAGCCATTGTCAATTGTAAGTAAGATTAAAAATGTTAGAGGCATACCTTTGTGATGACTAAAAAAACAAACGTTTGGGGTGTTTTTAGTAGCTAGTATGGAAGCAAAGGAGAAATTGCAACTTGATTCATGTTAAATGTAAGAAGGACAAATTACTGCTTGAGAGAAATAGTCTTCTGGATAAATGAAAGAAACATGTCCATAATCAGTATAAGCAAATAAAAAGATATACAGTAATTGAGAATTGCAGTTCTGCATGAGGTACAATTTCCTTTTCTAGAATTGGTCAGTGGACAGAAAAACAAACTCGAAGCTTGATTAATATTAAAGTGCTTGTAATAGAAGCTGTTGGAAAGCTGATGCTGTAGTTTGTTCCAGGTCTCATGCACCATTTTAACTTAGATGAATAGGTATGGTGGTGAAATGCAATGCATTCAATGATGGATCCTTGGAAAAATGATTGCTAAATATTGTGGGGGAGTGGAAGCAAGGGATGCACTGAAAAGTTGGTTTTGATCACAGAACATTTTTGTTCCAGTTTCCTTGTTTCATTATTGTTAAACAAGATTTTAGCCTTGTCTAAACCTTCATGATTTTATTTGAGTTGCTGGGCTCAATTAACGTAGACAAGAATCTGAAACACTGCACAGAATGGAGCCATTCAAATACAATCAGGCTTAATCAATTTCTGTGTGTATGGTTGTGACCTAATGTAGTATATGTATGTATGTGCACAGTAAACTGAATTTCTTCCTTAAAACAAAAATAATGATGGTTTTGTCATCAGCAGTGTTCAGATTCAGGCTTTTGTTTAAAGAAGAATTTGTTTATTTCCAGTGTGATTTCTCTCTGACAGTTTGCAGGTCTGTGTTGCAACAGAAGTGATTTGAGAACAATTTTTTCAGCTGGCTGCAGCTACAAGCAGTGACTACACAAAATGTTTTCCCTGAATCTCAAATTTACATTATTCTATATTTCTTCCAATTTGAAAATACAAACGAAAAATTGGAAGCACAATAATACCAAAACTTAGAGATGTCTCACTTTTGCTGAAAATGGTGTGCATGCTGATAAATGTAACCGTTTTTGCTCATATTTGTACTTTCAATCTTTTCTTACAGATGAAACAGGAGCACTAACATCGGCCAGTTTCTTTGACATGTGGAAAGGAGGTAGGGAAAAGAGTGCAGCAAAGCTTTTGTTAACATCTCAGTGTTCAATAAAAACATATTAAAATATTTGTCCTAGTCTTTAAGTGACTGTGCTTCTTCATTGAAGAAGATCACTTAGAAACAAACAGCAGTTGTAGTCATTTAAACATTCAATAGCCAGATCTTCTGACAACAACTTTTCCTGAAAAGATGTGGGGCTTTTTTTTCTGTTGGTTGAGTTAGTTAATGTTTGTTGTGATTAGTTGCTATTTTCTTTCTCCGTTATTTCAGTCTGGCAAAGGACAGCACTTACCAGATACTGCATCTATTCAGCAAAATCTTTTTTCTGATACATTTTGTTCTATTCTTTTCTACTTGCAAAATCATAATAAGTAATAAGCTAGTCTTTCTACACTACTATGTAGCTAAACAGAAGATCTACTTTAAGAATAGCTTCTAATACATTTTCCAGACTTAGGATGGTACCTTACCGTACTTCCTACTAAGAAGAAACAGAATGCTATGAGGCACTTGCAGCCAATTCTTTCACCACTTAAGAATGTTTATGACCTTGCATGCGTGAACAGAAATCACACTGGGTCTAATCATGGGGCTTCAGATTTTTATATGGTGTATGGACTGCAATGTCTCCAAGGCTACTGCCACATAATACACTTACTTTCTATAGAAAATAATGTATGCCTTATAAATAGATATCTTAGTGCTGCAAATAGACTGCCACTTAATGCAAATGGATGTACGGTGGGGTGTGTTACTTAGATCTACAGTTGGCATGGTAGTCTGCACACAAAAGAAAGGCACAGAGTATCAGTGACTTCTGAACTATTCCATGTTTTGCTTGCTGGTGGAGTGTTATGCAGGGTAAAATCTCAACTTATGTGTAAATGTTATCTGTTTTCAGAGGTTCAGAAGTATCTTTCTTTACAGCTGGGAATTATAGATCGACCTTTGTTCTGGTCTTCAGTGAGAGCTGGCAGCTTTCTGCATCTTCAAGGATTAGGCAAGTCCTGTGCCAGTGCATGGAAAGATTGCCTAAATAGGTCTCATTTTGAGTAGGCAAGGTCAAAAAGTGAAGTTGAATGCAAGGGAAAGTAGGTGGAATGTGATCGTGTGTGAAGGAGTAACCAGTTGTGTAATTAATTCAACAGACCACTCAGAAGAGATGGTGGCTTTCATTGAAAGTGCACCACAAGGGTCCCTGCTTTTCATGGTTACTCATGATGATGGAAGCGCCCGGTAAGGAAACTATTCATGACAGGCTGAGAAACACAGCAACAAATAGCCTGGCAGTCACTGTTGTACAGTGGTTTTAAGGAGTGTTTCATTTCATTGTATAGTCATTTCCTCTCTTAAAAGTTTGGATTATATATACATTCAGTGCTTGCTCAAGTCATATATGTTGATGCTTCCAAAGATGGAAGGAGAGCATCATGCTTGTTTAAAAGCACCAGTTATCATCATAAAGGGCAGTGTTATTATCTCTGCATCACAACCTTTTATTAAAAAGGTATCCACAGCTCTAATTAGAACATACCTAGCTTGCATTCCTTCTCACATCTTAACCTGATTCTTCAAGTCCTTTCAAATCTTATGATTGAAGTCATGATACCATAATTAAACAGGGACAGTCTTAATCATTTGGCTGATAAACATTTGAAGCTTTTGTCCACATTTGAAAAGGAATAAAAAGTCAAATTTTACAAATTCAGTGTTTGAGATGTATTTCTTTCTGCTGCATTGTTACAAGCAGATGGTATTGACATCAGGGATGTAGAGAAGAGGAATTCAAAGATATAATTTTGGTCTGTAGGTTTAATGGCATGCTAGTAAGACAGCACTCGGGAAGTTTTTAACTTCTAATTGTTTCTTGTGCCAACCTACTAATGTAAGCCATAGAATTATAGACTCATCTAGATTGGAAAAGACCCTTAAGATCATTAAGTCCAACCATCAACCTGACCTCGTGAGTCTTATCATTAAACTGTGTCCCTTTGTGCCACATCCACATATCCCTTAAATGCCTCCAGAGATAGGGACTGCACCACTTCCCTAGTCAGCCTGCTCCGCCCTCTCTGTGAAAAATTGCTTGACCACCCTCTCTGTGAAAAATTTCTTCCTGATGTACAACCCAAGTGTCCTCTGATAAAAATTTGAGGCCATTTCCTCTTGTCCTATTGCTCGTGAACTGAGGGAAAGACCAGCACCCACCTCACAGCAATCTCCTTTCAGTTACTTGTAGAGGGCAGTGTGGTAAACAATCCCAGTTCCACCAGCCACTCCTCACTATAAAGCCAAAGTGTTCTTTTTCAGCTTTTTTTTTCATATTATTATTATTTTTTATTTTTTTATTTTTAGGTTGAAAAGTAATGCCAAAAAGTTAGTAGAAGCTCTGGGAAGTAAAGAAATACAAAATATGAAGTTCAGGTCAAGCTGGGCTTTTATAGCTGCCAAAGGCTTCAAGCTTCCAGATGATATCGAAAGAGAAAAGGTCAGGTTCATTTTATTTTCAATTTTATTTGTCTCTGTCTCGGATGTAAACTTTAGGTGCAGATCTTGTGGGGTATCTGTAGTAACTTCAGGATCAGCCTCAGTTGTTCAAAGCAAATTCTCTAATGTGTCGTTATTCTTTGCTTTAGATCTGAGACTTTGAATCTTTGGATTTCTTAGGCAGAGTGTAAGAGAAATCGGTGGAATCTTCACCCATTATGTTGAATAAGATGTCTAACATACCCCTCAGCTTCCGTTTCTCTTTTATGTTGTATAAGGTTTGACAAACTAATTTAGTAAACACAAATACTGATTCATTTCATTTTGTTTTATTTTTAACAGATAAACCACTCTGATAGTAAGAAGAATAGATACAGTGGCTGGCCAGCTGAAATACAGATAGAGGGCTGTATCCCAAGAAACCTGATGTAAACAAATCCATACCTCCTTAGCAAAGATTCTTCTATATTTTTAAACATATAACTCTGGTAGTTTGCGTCCAGAGCCCAATAAGCACCTGAACAGCATTTGTAAAATAAGTCATAGATACAGTTTTTACTCTTGCTTTCATTTGTGAGGTTTTTCTCTAATCTGAAAACAAATCGATCTTTTGATGCAAGTGGTAAGAAAATGCTCTGGTTTGAAATTACAGTGCTTAGACAGTTGGTTGTGAAATACCAGGGTTATTGAAAGTGATTGTACTTTGTCATCAGTGACTTGTTAGTTACTTGTTTTTAACGTGTGTTTCCTTTTGGTTCCCCTTACAAACTAACATAAAACTTAGTCTAACCTATAATATAAAATAAAATATAAATATAATATAATATAATATAAATTATTTGGTACTTATTTATTGGTAACTTCTCTTCAGAAGAAGCCACTATATTTTTTGAGCTGGTTTTGGTAATGTTAACAATCTGGAATAACGTTGTTAACGTGTGGGAATGGGATGTTGTTTCTGCATTAGATATTAAAAAGGGTAATTGGTTTGAAGAAGTAGAACATAATGTATTTGTATTCTGTAACTTATCCTTAGATCGAAAAATTAGAAATACTGTATACGTTAGCAGCATCTTTTGGAGACCTAATTACTGAATTATGTGATTAATTATTTCTTGCAAAACTGCAAGAAGTTGTTAAATGTTCCAAACAATGTGGTATAGTGTTAGGGATTAGAAAACATACTGTAGGGTTGTTCTGTTAGGATAAGAAACTCCCAGCAAAAGAAAAATAGATTTAACAAACATCAAAGAAGGTAGTGCCTCTACACCAGGCCGGACTGTCTCACTCTGTGAGAAGCTTGGGATGTGACAGGCAGGTATCAAGATACTCCCCTCTGTCCTCCTTCCGAGCTTATCTCTATGCAAGGGTAGACGAGCAGATATCCAGAAACAATGACCAAACGTAATGACCAAAGGGTCAGAAGTTAATTAGTTAATTAATTAAAAGTTTATGCTTAGCCAGCGAAGATTTATGTTTGTCCACTGTTTGTATGTTTAGTGAAGCGTCGAGAAGATTGTGAACATAAAGTACTCAGCCAGTGAGGAACTAGGGGAGAAAGAGATAAGCGTCGGGCAATAAGGCATAAAAGATGCAACACTGTTTTCTGTGTGCTCTCCTGCTTGCAGGAGGCCCGCCATTGCAATTGCGAATAAAAGCTGCTTTATCAGAGATACCATCCTGATAAATTATTTGGATATTTCCAACAATTTGGGGGGTCATCTGGGATAATTATCACCTCCCAGGGGTCTCCCCCACTGTCCTGAACAGGATAGGTGCACCCTGCTGATTTAGCAGTCCTGTCTGGGTGGTGGGGTGACACCTTGGGACAGCCGATAAGAAACCGAGGCTGTTACATAAGGGACAGGCTCTGACAAAGCCAAGAGGCAGGCAGGCACGGGCGCTGGCCTTTGCGACCTGATAACTTTGTGCACGGCCAAGGTAAGGGAATTTAATTCCTGCCTTGGGGGTCGGTGGAGACTCTTTGAGTGTGTGCAACTGAGGTGCAAATTCAGTGCAAAGCAAGTGCAGAGTCCCGATCTGCGGTTCCATTGTCCTGCGAGGGGCACGGCCAGAGATGGATGAAGGGGCTGTGATGGTGAAAGGAAGAGTCTCAGGAGGGAGCTGTTGGTGCACGGTGCTCTGTGCATGTGTATGGGAACTGCTGAGTCACGGCCTGAACCTCTGATTGATCACCTGAGGCGAGCACTGAGTCAGCCAGGGGAGCACAGGTGAAGGCAATTCAGCTGTGCTGCAGGAAGGGGTGGAGCCTGGCTGCGCCTCTCCTAAACCCATTTAAGAGCTGGCTACCAGTGGGGAAGGATCACTTCTGGAGAGTGTTGCAGCAAGCCTAGGATACGGGTAAGCATTCTATCTATTCTCTTTTGGTATAGTAATTGCTTAGCCAAACTCTTTGGTATATTTCATAACTATAGCATCTATATATTCACTGATTATACAGCACTTGATGAAGTGCCAGCAGTATACCCCTATTAATCCGAGAGATAGGAGTGTAGTACTCCAAAGGGATTGGGCCCAAAATCTGAAAATCAGGGTGTGATAATCTGTGAGCTGGTAGTTCACAGTAGCTTTCTGGAGGGATGGGTAATAGCAGCTCCCGAAAACAGGGGAAAAGGGTCCCCAGAATGGTGCCTAGAGATAGCCCCTTGGGGAAAGAAGCTTCAGAATTGGAAAAATAACCCCTAAGCTAGAGATGAGAACAGGAAAAAGATGTTTAAATACTGTGTACAGATGCAGCCTAGAGAGCACTACATGGAAAAACATTTCGACCAAAATGTGAATCTGACAGAGATCGGCTTTTGTCAGACTTTGAATTTGTGTGTAAACAATAAGACTTCTTTTTCTGAAACAGAATTGGCTTATACCGTTTAAAGGGAGCAAAAACAAAACGTAAAATAGTTCCTCACAAGAAAGAGTCAAAGTTCAAAAGAGAAAGGAGAGAAGCAGAAAGATCATAAATGGGATCCCTTAGATAACTACCTCACCCCCCCTAAAAAAAAAAAAAAAAAAAGAGTACTTACATACTTGTTTCAGTATTTTTCTACATCTAAATCATACTTCTTTTGCTTGTTCATCCTACACATTTTGTAGGTCACAGGGTTCATTTTGGTGTTTTACAAGTGCGATGGTAAATGCATGTGAACTGTCGTGCCACATCCTGAATTTGTCCTCATTCTTGAAATGTAGGAATTTGAATGGAAAACTCAAGGTCTGCTAGCAGTCACTGGCTACTTAACACTAAAGAAAAGTTATTTATACCTCCTTCAGTTTAAAAAAAAAAAAAAAAAAAAGAGTTCACAGGCATCTGTTGTGACCAAGTTCGCCACAGCTGTCTGGAGTTCTGGAGATATTTCAGAGCTTATTCCTTGGGAGACTTGAAGCAGTACTCTGTATAGGCTCCTTATGTGTGTTATAGCACTGTGACTAAATCACCCCTCACTTGTGCTGCTGTTAAAGGGATCTAACCACTTGTTCTTCAGCACTCCTATCAGACAGATCACTGCTAAGACATAAGGCTTCTGTATGTTTATTTTCTTAAGTGTACAGCTTTACATGATCACTATTTTATTTGGGCAGTGTTCATGTTACTGGCTCAAAAGTTATTCCTTTAAATTTGTTGCCTGCTTGAATTGCAAAAAAAACCAACATAATTAATTACAGTAATAATAGCAGGCAAATCTGAGGATGCCAGGCTCTGTGGCAGTCATGGGACTCTGCAGTTTGACACTCACTACCTTCTACTCCAGCCTACAATTGATCTTGCGTCAGTTACAATTAAATTTTACATCATATCATAATCATAGAATCATCAAATGGCCTGTGTTGAAATGGACCATAATGATCATCGAGTTTTAACCCCTCTGTTGTGTGCAGGGTCACCAACCAGCAGACCAGGCTGCCCAGAGCCACATCCAGCCTGGCCTTGAATGCCTCCAGCGATGGCACATCCACAGCCTCCTTGGGCAACCTGTTCCAGTGCTTCACCACCCTTTGTGTGGAAAAACTTCCTCCTCGTATCTAACCTAAAACTCCTCTCAGTTTAAAACCATTCCCCCTTGTCCTATCACTATGCACCCTCATAAAGAGCTGTTCTCCCTGCTGTTTATATGCTCCCTTCAAGTACTGGCAGTCCACAAAAAGGTCTCCCTGGAGCCTTCTCTTCTCCAAGCTAAACAAGCCTGGTTACCTCAACCTTTCTTCATAGGAGAGGTGCTCCAGCCCTCTGATCCACTGGCCCTCCTTTGGACCTGTTCCAAGAGCTCTGCGTGTTTCTTGTGCTGAGGGCCCCAGGCCAACATCAGTTTCTTTTCAGCAGTTAACACAAGTGTACTGCTGCTACGCCTTGGAGGTAAAAAGCAAAGTAGGGCTGTAGCTCTGGCATTACCAAGCCTCAGCAGCATCTTGCCTTACTGCTCCTGCAATTGCTTGCAAACCTTAACAACGCCAAAGAAGTCCTTGCTTAATGCTGAGGTGAGGATATTACCCAGTTGCCCAAGCAGCCTTTCTTTGATAGAATGCTCTGGACATTTAGTTTTGTATGCCTGTCAGCGGATAACTGTTCTGATGTATCAGGAACAGGAACACCAATTCCAAGTACAATGTTTTGCATTGTTATCATTCTTTCCATTACATCAGATCACACAGATACTGTTCATAGGTTTGTGTGGGGAATGTATCAGGACATATTTTGTCCAGAGTGCTTATGATTGCTTCCTATTAACTGGGAGTATTTTGTGTGCCTCACCTAACCATTCCCAAAGAAGCTTTTGGTACCTTTCTTTCTGCAAAGAGGTTGGTTTGTCTGCCAGTCCCCATGAAGCAAGTTCACAGTGCTCCGTTCTCTATGAATGGGCAATCGTAAGAGTCACGTGCTGGTGGTCTGAATCAAATCTCAGCTACCGAGAGCCCTTTGCAGCATGAGTCACCACACAGTGTTCTTCAGCTTCACTGGGTTTTTGCTTTCTCAGAGATGCAGCTGAATCATCCAGACATAGAGACTTCTAATAAGATGCGGTGTTGGACTGTCAGTTTTGTTTTCCTCCGTTCGTGGCACAGTGCTTAAACACGGTAGGTGGAGGAGACTTGGGTGCTTTGTGATGAGCAGAGGATGGGATGTCCTCACCAAAAAATGGGGCTAAGTCCTCCAGAGGAACTGCTCTTCTTCTGAAGCAGAGAATGCCGGCTGAATGGGAAAGTATCACCTGTAGCCTGCAGTGCTGCTCAGGGCTTGACGTGGTATTTTCAAAAGCAAAGCAACACAGAAAGTGGAAGCAGTGGCTGTGCTTATCCTGTGTCTGCCTGCATGGGACCGAGCTGCTGCCCTGGCTGGCTGCTGGCACCCCACACCTGGCAGCTGAGACAGAGCCAACAGGTCCACATCAACCATTTCTTCCAGCAGCACATGGCTGTTGGCATTCTTCATGGGAAGCATCCAGATAGGCCTTCCTGTCCCCTGCCCACTTAGGTAGACACTTCAGATAGAAGCACTTAGAAAAATAGCTACTGTTCCCTTTACCCTTCAGTGGAAGCATGATACAAGCAGTCCCATAAGGAACAGAGTGCCAGGACAGACACCCTTCTTTATCTCTCCATTTAAGAGAATGAAAAGTGTTTCAGGCCCTGATGGATCTCTTGCAATCCAGCTAGAAGGCAGAGACAGAAATACCAATCAAATAATAGGTATCTTTTCCATTCCATTCCACTGGCAACCGTTGCTTCTGGTATTGGTCTTCCTTCAGTGTTCATAGTATGATTAAGGTTGAAAAAGGCCTTTAAAATCACCTAGGCCAACTCTCAGCCCATCATCACCAAGTTCCTTGGTGCCACATCCACACAGTCCTTGAACGTTTCTAGAGATGGTGACTCCACCACCTTCATGGGCAGACTGTGCCACTGCCTTACTGCTTTTTCTGGAAATAAATGTTCCCTGATATCTAGCCTGAAAAGTAAAGGGGTTGTTGCTCATCAGCAGTATTATTTGTCCTCTGATTCCTCTGCAGGAGAAGGAGAAACTACAGGATGAGGAGGGTAGCAGTGCACTGGAGTGGTTTTGTTACTGGGTTCTGCAAAGCACTGGGAAGAAAATTGGCTAGTGGATGAGGATGTTGAGTGAAACACACATCAGGATATTATTTCCAAGCATGAAAGCATTTTAGTTTCGTTTCTGCTTGTTCACGTCATATCTTAATGATGTCTAAGCAACAGTGATTCCTCACTGCCAGAAAATGAAAAGTTTTGGTTTCACTTTTCTGCTGTGGATGTTTTGTGGTGGTGTTGGCTGTGGTTTTTACCCCAGAGCAATTATTGAGCAGCATAGGAAATGTAGAGTCAAATACAAACTTTACATTAGCAGCTCTGATATGATTTTTCTGCCTGTTCCAAAGAGCATAGAGATAGATGCTTTGGGCTTGCCCAGTCTCTATTGTGGTTCTCATTTAAAAAAGGTAGATACAGCCTAGAGATTGGGACAGTGTTGCTTGGAGGTGAAATTAAACATCTCTACTTGTGTTTTGCTGAGCCCAAAAACTGCTGTACAGCAGATTGTATGGTAAGGCTTGGATAAGATATTGGTGGAAGCTGGTCACTGTTTCATTATTCTTACTGTAGTTTTAAGAGTATATGGTACTTCTAGAGAACGCAAGTGTGAGTTTCACAATGCAGATGTTCACACTGTGATTAGAGCTGCTCTGCAACAGTAAAGTATGTGTTTCTGGAGCAGAAGATTTGGGGTTTTGGCTGGAATAATCTTCTCCATAGTGGCTCGTATAGTACTGTGTTTAGATTTAGAATGAAAATAATGTTGATAGCACACTTTTGTTGTAGTTGTTGCTGAGCAGTGCTTACACAGAGCCGAGGACATTTCAGCTCCTCACATCACCTGGCCAGAAGGAGCTGAGGGGGCACAGGGAGCTGGGAGGGGACAGAACCAGGACAGCTGACTCTGGCCTACGTGGATGTCTCATAACACGTGGCGTCACGTTGAACAACAGAACTGGGGGAGCTGGTGGAGCATCAGTTGGCTGGTTGTGAGCAATTGCTTTGCACATCATTTGTTCTGTTCATCCTTTTTGTTCCTATTTTATTTGTTCTGTTTCTAAGCTTTCTCAACCCAAAGTTTCCCACACTTTCTAATGTTTTCCCCCATCCCACTGCGGGTGCCCAATATACGAGCCATGTGGCATTTAGTTGCCTCTGGGTAAAACCACACCTGGCTGACACAGACATTTTTTTTTTTTGCTTCCCGAAATGTAGAAGATGTAGAGTACTCCAATCTGTGGTAACTGTGCAGCTTTGTAGTTGGTATTACTTTTGACAGCCACAGGCCACAATTTTTGTGCTGCCTTTGCAAGGTCTCAGCACTGGAGCTTGTCAGATCTGCTCTGTATTGAAGCTTCTGTGATCTGTCTGGAGATTTTCTACCTCATTAAGCAGTGATAGCAGCTTCTCCATCTGACCAGGAGAATCTTGTCTACCTCTACTTTGTTTTGCTCTTTATCTTTGTGTGGCACTACCATAGTTTTATACTGAAAGCAGTAACAAACAGAAAGATATTTACAACTCCAAAAACAGAGATGCAATGTAAAGAAGTACAGACAGCAGAAGACTGGAGAAGTAGAGAGATGGGCCGTGACATGGAGGAATGCAGATGTGGGATGGTAAGAGATGGGATACAGGCTTTACACCAGAATCCCACAGCTATAATGGAATCTCAGTTCACTAATGCTCAGTTAAAAATAACTAAAATTAAAATTCTCAGACTGGAATACAACAAAACAGGTTGTAGGGAAAACAAACAGAACTAGGAAATAACATCTTACAGTATTTACTACCATTTGCATATATGAATTCAGATGTAATCTGAAGCTATGTACTAGTGAAAACAGAGAAAGGTGTAAATATGTGCTAGCAAACATATAGATGTGACTCTAAGTGAAATGGGGAAGCAATGGGAAAAAGAACCCAATCAATGTGGTTATCGTATTTCCCCCTGTGAAGGACTCCAGGTGCTGCCCGCTCACTGTAGTATCCCAACACCAGCACAAAACCACCAACATGGGAACACAGAGGAGAAATAGATGAGCAAGCATAAGAGCAGGAAAGAACAGAGATGCCAAGAAGTGTTAGAATTTAGTTGTTACTGCTATTGTTGTGACTTTGTCTGTATATAAGCACTCTATTAGTATTTTTATTCTTTGCTTCTCGGTAGTAATTAGAGCTAGACTAATAATGATTCTTGTTACTTCTAACATTTCCAGTATAATATGATAAATATACATTTTTATATCGCCCATATATTAGAAAGTGGGTATAAATAATCCCTCTTTGCCCATAAACAAGATTTTGAATGTAGCAGTGTCCCCGCTTGCAGTGCTGTTTGTCCTTGGTGACCCAGCAGGAGTTGGTACTTTTTTCTCTTCTACTACTGGCCAGGAGCTGCAGGAGGCAACTTCTCAGACCACTATATCATGTCTTTCCCCTTGCCTCTCACAAGATCTTGTCCATTCTCCATATAGTCTATAGGAACAGAACACAAGGATAGAGAAAATGGCCTGAAAGGTATTGGTCTTCCTTCAGTGTTCATAGTATGATTAAGGTTGAAAAAGGCCTTTAAAATCACCTAGGCCAACTCTCAGCCCATCATCACCAAGTTCCTTGGTGCCACATCCACACAGTCCTTGAACGTTTCTATGGTGAGATGGTGACTCCACCACCTTCATGGGCAGACTGTGCCACTGCCTTACTGCTTTTTCTGGAAATAAATGTTCCCTGATATCTAGCCTGAAAAGTAAAGGGGTTGTTGCTCATCAGCAGTATTATTTGTCCTCTGATTCCTCTGCAGGAGAAGGAGAAACTACAGGATGAGGAGGGTAGCAGTGCACTGGAGTGGTTTTGTTACTGGGTTCTGCAAAGCACTGGGAAGAAAATTGGCTAGTGGATGAGGATGTTGAGTGAAACACACATCAGGATATTATTTCCAAGCATGAAAGCATTTTAGTTTCGTTTCTGCTTGTTCACGTCATGTAGGTGGAGTCTGTGCATAGAAAAGCACCCAAAGCAGCTGAATGCAGTTAATTGTTTCTCCTTGCTGCATGACTCTGGCAGGTATGACTTTTCCTTTCCTTTACTTTCTTTTAAGAATAACCATGTGATTTTTAATTGCTATATTTGTTGCTTTTAATAGTTGAAGGTGTCAGCAGCACAATCTGGCCAGCAGTTTGCATGTACAGTGTTATGAGTTTTGCACTGCTATTTTTTTTTTTTTTTCAGATAGTGTTAACAAATGTACAGCTCAGAGGCTGTAGAGATTACACAGATATCTTCTGGTCAGTGTGACAGGTAGAAGTCTGTGTCCCGTTCTGGCTGGACGCAAACTAACACAAGTGATATTTGGGAGACAAAAAGGGGTTGCATGCTCAGCACCGCAGCTTTGTGTTTGGTGGTTGGTTTTGGAGCTACTCCCAGAGCAGTGAAGCCAGGGCCGCCAGAGAAAAGCAAGGCTACTTATTGCCAGGTAGTTTGCAATCCATGCGGCCCCAGCTGGGTCAGGCTGCCCAGAGGTTTCTTGTGGGGTGGCAGGCAGCTGCTGGCAAGGAGACTGCAGATGCCTTCAGATACAGTTCAAGGAAAGCAGCATGGCAGCAGTGTCTCAGCAGCTGTGGTGATGATAGAATGCTTACAGGGAAGAAGTTTTTCCCAATACCCACCCCAAGTAGTTGAATTGTCTTCTGTTGCTGGTCCAAATAAAGCACTTTTCTCACAGTCTATTTTTTGTTGTTGTTTTGGTTAAAGGAGAGAGGAGTATTAATAATAATAAATTGGACTGAGTAGGAAGTGAGGAATTACTCTTTTTATAAACTTGTTTTGCACATTTAAAGTATCATTTATGTTTTATGTGCTCTCTCCATATTGACATCAGCTAAAAGTGCAAAATACTTACTTTTAATTCAGCCGAAGAACAGGCTCACTAGTAAATGTATCCACTAGGACTAGCAGATATTTTGGTCCCCTAGTCCTAGGTAATTCAGTAAAATCAATGTGCCAATATCCTCCAGGTGCCTGTCTCTCTGCTGTTTTTCTGAATTGAATTTTATTCTCTGTTTTCAGATTGGTTTGTTTGTTTTGCACTGTATTTCACACCTTTCAGTAATTGACCTAACCCCTTTACCCCCTACTGGTTCAGCACTGTAAACAGGTATTCTTTGTCTTATGGTAAGATTTCATCCTGCTTCTATTAGCAACACAGTTGCTGAGACTGCTCTCAGGCACCCAGGCCATCCTTGACCTGCTGTGTCCAGTTCCCTGGAGAAACAGGCTACTGCCTCTGTTATGAATGGGGTCACCAACCAGCAGACCAGGCTGCCCAGAGCCACATTGAGCCTGGCTTTGAATGCTTCCAGAGATGGGGCATCCACGGCCTCTCTGGGCAACCTGTTCCTGTGTATCACCACGCTCTGTGTGGAAAAACTTCCTCCTAATATTTAACCTAAACCTCCCCTGTCTTAGTTTAAAACCATTCCCCCTTGTTCTTCAGTAAGCAAGCTAGCAAGGTAAAATGCTCTTAAATTGCTTTTGATTGCTCTTAGATTGTTTCTAAAGAGAACAAGTGTAAAGACTTATCCATAAAATTTCTATATTCAGTTGTGATTTAAGGGTCTGCCTTAGTTTCAGTACATATGGAATTGTTTTCTTCAGTGTCTGTTATGATGCTATGTTTTAGTTCTAGGAGAAAAACATTTCTACTTGAGTGGAAATTTTTCCGACATCTTTGCTGCTTGGGGAGGAGGTGGAAGAGAACAGGTGGGGGAAAAGTGATTTTAGTTTGCTTTTGTTACGCTATATTACAGGAATTGCATTAATCTCCCTGCGCTTAGTTTGCTTTGTCCTTGACAGTAAGTGGTGAGTCATCTCCTTGTCCTTATCTCAATCTTGGAGCCTTTTTTCATCATGTTTTCTCCCCTAGTTCTGTTGAGGAGGGGAATGAGAGAGTGGCGTGGTGGAGCTAAGCTAGCCATTGTTGTGAAACCACTGCGTCCACCCTGTCCAAAAAATTTCTTGTTTAGTCTCCATAAGAGAGACTAAGAATACTTTGGGAATATCCTGTGTCAAATTCTTTTTTGGGGAACACAAAAAAGGTTTAAGTGACGTCGTGGGAAGTGTTTCAAGTCTTTCCTCTGGAGATCAATCTTAGTAATTTGAGAAGAATTTGGGTTCTTAATCTCTGTTAAGGGCTTGAACCAGGAGGTAGAAACATTGTTCTGATTTTTCTCTGCTATGGTTAATGTTGATTTCAGAGTCTGCCAAGAGTGGTTGGTATTGATAGTAATCACTGCTCGGTGCAGTACATACGGACAAGCCATAGAGAAGCCAGAAGAACAGCAGAACATGAACGGTGCAGGGTTCAACTTTGGATATACCAATCAGATCCCAAACTCCAACACACCTTTCAGATGTGCCAGTCAGATCCCAAACTCCAACACACCTTTCGGATGTGCCAGTCAGATCCCAAACTCCAACAAACCATTTGGATGTGCCAATCAGATCCCAAAGCAGGATAGTAACAAACCACCTTCCTTACGTTTCGTTTTTGGGTCACCTCCACCACCGCCACCAGACTGTAGCAATCAGATGGCTTCCTCTGTACCAGAACTGACTGACAGAAAGCCTGGGCATGAGCAGGAAGTGTCCCAGAAGCAGAATGACAGTGAAGAGGACAAGGATGAGGTAAGGCAGGTGGCAGAGAAAAGCACAGATACTCTCCAAACTCACCCGTGTTTTACGTTGCGACTCAAAATGAATTCCTCTGTCTCTTTGGGGACTTGTTAGGTCGAAGGAGAGGAGAATTTTTAGGATCAGTGTCAAGAAGTCATTTGCATAGCTAGGAAGATGTGTGCCTACTGTTAATCTGCTGGCATAAAAACTGCTCATGTGATAAACAGCATGGCAGCAGCCTAGCAGCCAGTGTAACCTGTAATAAATATCTAATTCATTAGGAACAATTAGAAAACACCAGTAAATGGGAATCCTAAAATCTGGGATATTTTTTAACTTAATGTTTTTACTTTACTTACTTTACTTACTGTTACCTTCAACGGAAACATAAAGAAACTTTACTAATAATCTGTGTTGTATATTTAACATACAGAGATTATAATAGAATCATTAAGGTTGGAAAAGACCTCTGAGATCATCCAGCCCAACCATCCACCTACCCCAACATTGCCCACAAAACCATGTGCCTAAGTAATACATCTATACCCTTTCCTTAAATACTTCCAGAGACAGTGACTCCACCACCTCCCTGGGCAGTCTTTGCCAATGCCTCACCATGGTTTTTGAGAAGAAATATTTCCTAACATCCAATTTGGCCCTCCTCTGGTGAGGCCATTCCCTCTCATTCTATCACTATTACCTAGGAGTAGAGGCTGGGCTCCACCTTACCACCTTACCCCACCCTCCTTTCAGGTGGCTGTAGTGAGAAATAAGGTCTCCCCTGAGCTTCCTCTTCTCCAGGCTTAACAATCCCAGTTCCCTCTGCTGCTCCCCACAAGGTCCGTGCTCCAGACTTCTCACAAGCTTTAAGTCTGTGTTAATGGGGTTTCTTGAGAATGGCTGGGATTTACTAGGCAGTAAACACTGTGATAAAGGTAGTATGAAAGAGTGATCAATTATCAAAGTATCAAGGTGTTTTGAAACACCTGCTGGCAGAGATGTGTACCATCTTTCTTATCTTGAAAGAAAAAATTGTTGTTTTTTTTTTATTATATCTGACAGAAATATTTTCATAGGTGACTCTTAGACAGAACTGATGGTGGTGGCCAGCTAGGATCTGGCAAAGAAAGATGTGAACTACAGATTTTAACCATGTATGGAGGCTGGTGGCCCTGCATGTGGCAGGGGGGTTGGAGATTCATGATCCTTGAGGTCCCTTCCAACCGAGGCCATTCTGTGATTAAGGGCACTACAGCAGAATGATTTGGCGATTGATTACCAACTAGATCTTCAAGCTTCAAAAAACATCTAATGAACTTTCTGTACTAAATTATCTCATCGCTGTGGCCAGTCTCTATTTACATGTGTGTCCTTCCATGCATCTGTATGAGTGAAAGGAAATGACAGTTATTAAAAATACATATATTCAAAGCACATTTAGTGTTGAGGTCTCTTTTTACTTTTCACCTTTCAGGACAGCTTAGAAAATTGACTATTTTTACCAAGGTTGTTTCAGTCACTGAGCCAATCTCAATAGAGTTAATCATAAGTATATCCATCTGTTTATAGCATGAAGGTGCAAGGATGGACAGTGACATGAAGTACAGGCTGGTGCTTGTACATGAGGTTTACTAGAGAATGAAGAGCTGGAAAAGCTGCCTAGAAAGTGTTTTGTAATTGTTTTGGATGGATGGGTTGTTTTGATATTTATTTTTTTGTTTCTGGAAGCAGCTTATTTTAAAATTACCTTCAAATTAATTGTAAGTGTGACTCCAACAGGCAGCAGAACACACCTTGCACAACCAATATGACAAAAAGATCCGACCTTGTATTGACCTTGTCGACAGCCTGAGAATGCTTGGTATAGGAAACGACCTGACATTGCCTGCGATCGCAGTGATTGGAGACCAGAACTCTGGGAAAAGCTCTGTCCTTGAAGCTTTATCTGGCGTTGCTCTTCTTACGGACAGTGGTATGAATTCACCTTCTCCTATTTTCATCTGAATTTGACACTGGTGAAGTAGAAGGGATTTATTTTTTTTTCCCCCTGGTGCTTAGGAGTAGATAGCATTATGACTGAAGCTATACATAAATCATGGGACTCCAGAAGCCTTCCTATCTCTGGTTTCCAGTAGAAGAAATGGATATGCAGGTGGGATGCTTCAGTGTCAGTCCAACAAGTTGCACAGTCTGGGTGGACAAGGGAGGAGAAATAAGAAGTATATAATGTGACATACTTGCTCCAAGTTGTTGGCAGGCAGAAAGGCAGCAGCATCAGCTAACTCTTTGTATTCCCCAGCAAAATGTATTGATTCCATATGCAAGATTAGTTTTGAAATTTGTTTCTGCATTGCTCTTTTTAGATCAAAATTTTCTTACAGAAATGTTTGTTTTTGGCAGAAAATGTACAAAGATATTTGCTTACAGACACATGCCTTGAATATTAGATTGTTCAAAGACTGTATTTACTGCTCAGGACAATTCATTTTCTACGTGTGTTCATGTGTATGTACATGTATATCCACACACCCAAGTTCTGTGAGTTCTGTATTGGTTGGCAGTACCTGAGCACCTTTAGGCTTTCAGTCTGCACCTCAAGTCCAGGAATAGGGTTGCCTTCGTAAGATGTAGATGCAGTGACTTGCACTAAAGCAGGTCACTCAGAGAAGAACAAATCTCCATTCTTGGAGGCCTGCAAGGTAAAATTGTCTGGCCAAGCCATGGTTGACCTCACATAGTCCTGCTGACACAGAGAAGGAAGTCAGATGAGAGCCCTTTGACTCTTCAAACTTTTATGTGCCTTTCCATGTAGTATTAGGCAACCCTGCACACATCACCCAGTCCATTCACACAGTCTATTGTACATAACAACTGTGTCACCTATGTCTTTGGTGCTACTGCAGATGTCATTACTCGCTGTCCTCTGGAACTCAAAATGAAAAAAATAACACCACCATCAGAATGGAAAGGGGTAATTTATTACAGCAACATGGAAATACAACTCCAGAATGCCTCAGAGGTGAAGGAAGCAATAAGAAAAGGTAAGTTGTGTATTGCCCTTGCTCAATCTTGTTTGAATTCTTTCTCTCCTTCTCTTAGGCTGAGAAACAGTCCTCAAACTAACACATGGGATTACAGCCACCAAGAACTGAATGTAGAGCTTAAGAAGATGAGTCATTGCAAGAGAGTTGTGCTAATTATTGCTTCAGTGAAGAAGATGGTCCACAATATCTGACAAAAGCTCAGGCTGTGTGCTCAGCTGGATGCTATTTGTCTTGTTTGGGAAGTTTGTCAAGCTGTAAGCATGCAAAGCCCTCAGTGGTTCATGATGTCAGCTCAAATGCTCAGAAAATGCATGTGGTGTCTGTGGCAGGAAAGCCTATAATTTTTGAGAAAATTGAAAGATGGCAGAGGAGGGCATACAGAGCTTCTGTTAGTTGTGACCATGGCCTCATGCACTGCCATGCCACAGCTTTACTTTTATGGTATTTCATGCAGTACGAGAAAATATTTTGTCACCCAAAGTGTAGTAAGCACTTGCCCTAAATGTGAAAGTGGTTTTGTTCTTATTTCCTTGGTTAGGACAGCTCTACAACATTGCTATTCATCATATTCATCATGAGTACTCTGTTCAGTTTTGGGACCCTCACTAAAAGAAAGACACTGAGACCATGGAACGTGTCTAGAAAAAGACAACAAAACAGTGAAGGGCCTGGAGCACAAGTCTGATGGGGAGCAGCTGAGAGAACTGGGATTGTTCAGTCTGGAGGAGGCTCAGGGGAGACCTTATCACTCTCTGCAACCACCTAAAAGGAGGCTGTAGTGAGGTAGGGGTTGGCCACTTCTCCCAGGTAACAGTGATAGGATGAGAGGGAATAGTCTCAAGTTGCACTGGGGAGGTACAGGTTGGATATTAGGAAATAGTTCTTCTCAGAAAGAGTGGTGTGAGGCATTGGAGTTACCATTCCTGGAGGTGTTTAAGGGTATAGATGTAATACTTAGGCACATGGTTTAGTGGGCAATACTGGTGTAGGTGAATGGTTGGACTAAATGATCTTACAGGTCTTCTTCAACTTTAATGATTCTATTATAATGTTCCTTTGTTAGTTTTTCAATATAGTTTTCAACATACCCTTCACAAACTGCAAAGAAACTGGTATGATTTGAGTAGGCCAATTACACAGCTGATAGAATCTCTCATGAGTATTATAATGGAGTTTTCTCGCTCCACATGGTGTTGTTGGTTCCATCATGATTGCCGATACACAACCTGGGGAAAAATGGTTTATCTGTCAACCTCACTATCAATGCAAGGAGAATATAGAGTAACACCTATTGGTCTTTAAAGGCAGCTAAAAATTAAAGTCTACAGAGTACCTTGATGCTGAGGAATAATTTCTGCAGCTGACCAATACTTTATCCCCTTGCTCTTGTGATGTTTTATTTATGTGTATTTTGTGTATGTGTATGACAATCCATTAGTATATGCTCTGTAAAATACTGCAGTTTCCACTCCACAAAAATTATTGTGTGAAATCCCTTTGGTTTTTTGCAGAAATGGATTTACATTAATGTCTAGATCTGAAAAAAAGCCACGCCTAAAAGAAATTTAGGTGATAGTAGATATTTTTTGGAGTCATCATATTCCCACTTCACCTACACTTCAACGCAGACTTCGAAGCCTGTATTCATTGCTTTCCTCTTTCCACCTTGCAGCCCAAGATACAGTGGCTGGCACTGATGGTAACATTAGTGGAGAACTAATTTCCCTTGAAATCTGGTCCCCGGATGTCCCAGACCTGACACTAATTGATCTTCCTGGAATTGCCGGAGTGGCCATGGGGAACCAGCCACAAAACAATGGTCAACAGGTAACAGTCAGTTTTATCTGCCAACTTATGCAAAGGTTCTCTTCTGTAGCCTATCTTACATGCAAATCTTTGCTGTAGGAGTCTGGAATTATTATGCTGGGCTTCTGAGCCATTATAAGAGCTACACTAGCAAACAGACAGATCTGTTTTTTGGCAAGGCAGTGCTGATAGGAACAGTGAGGACTAAGACCTCCTGTCTTTCTTTGTGCAGGAGGGAGCTGCCCATGCTGGCATAGGTGAGCCATCCCAGGCACCTGCCAGAGCAGCAGGGAAGAACACAGCTGCACTGACCCTGTTTTGCAGATAGATGGTCTCCAACACAGCAATGTCTCCATGCCCATAGGCTTGAACACAGGCTGGAGTGTAGATAAATCCCAAATAGTTTGCGTTTTCTCAGTATTGTGGAGATGCTTGGCAAAAGTGAAATGTCTGAGTTCTTGTAAGCTCTCCTAGAGCAAGAAGGCAGATCAGCACTAGCTCAATGCTCTGTCATCCTTTGCTGACAGTGTACATGTGAAGGGAACCAATTGTCATTTTTTTTTCTCATCCCTTACAGTATTTCAGCAGGCCCATTCTGAAGTGAACAGTATCTGCATTAAAGGATATCTGTATGCTTCCCCTGGTGGCTTTTAGAAGAAATGCTGAGCAATGCAAATAAAACTCCAAGAGATAGGGCCAGCTGTGAGGGTGATGCACTGGAGTTGGCTATACTGTACTATACTATAGTCTGGCTTTCATTCCAGAGGTGTGTTACTAGGCATCAGAACTCATTTTTCTTTTGACATTAGTTATGAAAATCATATTTCCCTAAACAAAGATGTTATCCACAAGAGTTTAAATTTTACTTAGAAGCAGATGTTAAATTTTATGTAATTTAAATGATTTTTTCATGACAGATATAACAATAGTCCGTACTTGTTCACATTAAATGTTTGGGTTTATCTTTCTGTAGGAAAAGAGACTACACTATTTTCTTAACCCATTTCCATGCCATTCTTTAACATTTAATGGTACTCACAGTATATGTGACGTATCATGTGGTGGCTTGTACTGCTAGGAGTGGTCGCATCCTACATGCAAGCATTTGATTTCATTGAACTCTTTACTACTGTATTACATTTCAGATCAAAATGCTACTTAAAAAATATATTGGCTGCAAAGAGACAATCATTTTGGTAGTGGTACCATGCAATGTGGATATTGCAACAACAGAAGCTCTGAAAATGGCTCAGGAAGTGGACCCCACAGGAGAAAGGACACTTGGTGAGAATTTTTTTAAGCTGAAAGTGTGAATCATTTATTTCCACGAACGTCTGATTTGTGTACTTCATGCTAAATCTTCAAAGTTTTAGTTCAAAGCTACTAAAAGAAGAAATAAGCAGACTAAATAAACCCTTTACAAAGCTGGAAGTGATCTACTAGCTCTTAAAATATCTCAAATTTGAGTCTAGCTGGCATTCACATTGTGAATGAAAATCGAAAATCTCAGAGTTAGTGCTGGGAAAGTCTTGTTGCTCTCTGTTGAAAAGGTTTGCAAGGCAAAAGATGGACTGAGAGTCCAACTGCAGAGTGAGTTTTACAGTGCAAAGCCCAGGAGCTGAAAGCTTTCTAGGAGAGAAAACAAAACAAAGTGCAGTTAATGTAAAACAAAACAAACACCGTAGGGAACATTTCCACTCTTACTGTGAGATGTCCTACTGCACCTCTTCCATCTTCAACTTCGGTGCTTGACTAACTTTCTCTTTGGGTAACTTCACAGGGATCCTTACTAAACCAGATCTGGTGGACAAAGGAACCGAAGAGGCTGTCCTTAAGATAATGCGAAATGAAGTCATCCCACTCAGAAAAGGTTATATGATTGTGAAGTGTCATGGGCAACAGGACATCAATGACAATCTGTCCTTGGCCTCTGCAATCCAGCAAGAGAGACAGTTCTTCGAGACTCACAAACATTTCAGGTACTTCTCACAGAAAGGACCTAACCCAAAATATACTGAAATCACTTCAAATCATGTAGCAAAAGGATGAAGGGAAATGGCTTTAAACTGGAAGAGGTTGTGGATGCCCACTCCCTGGAGACATTCAAGGCCAGGCTGAATGGGGCTTTGAGCAACCTGGTCTAGAGCAAAGTGTCCCTGCCTATAGCAGGGAAGTTGGAACTAAATGTTCTTAAAGATTCCTTCCAACCCAAACCATTCCATGATTCTCTAAGAGCAACAAACCTTGCTGATAAAGGGGCTAGAAAGCAAGTGTTATAATGAAAGGCTGAGGGAACTGATGTTATTTAATCTGGAGAAGGCTGAGGGGAAAATCTCATCACTCTCTACAACTACCTTGGAAGAAGTTTGCAACAAGGAGAAGGGGACTGGTCTCTTCTCTCTGGTGACAAGTGATAGGATGCTAGGAAAAGGCCCCATGTTGTACAAAGGAGGTTTAGATTAAATATTAGAAAGATATTTTGGTCAAGCATTGGAGTGAACTGCCCAGGGAAGTGGAGGAGTCCCCATCACTGGAGGAATTTAAGACATATGTGGATGCTGCACTGAGGGATATAGCAATGGGGCGGGGGTTGATAGGTAGGCTTACATTTGGACTTGATGATCTTGAGGGTCTTTTCCAACCCAGATGATTCTGTGATTCTAAAAGCATTAGCCTCAGAAGACCAGAATAGTCCTAATGAAGACAAGGTAAGCATATGAACCCTTCCAGTTAAGTGCTGAAGTATTGCTATTCACTGGAAAACACCATAAAACTCAGCATAAGAAAGCACACAGTCTATGCTGAAGACACAGGTTTTCCCATAAGGTGTCTTAGCAGCAAATCAATCACTGAGAATAATAGGTGAGAAGTGTTTTGAATTGGCATACTTCCCACAAGCAGAAATAACATAGAAGGTTTTTTGATGTTTTTGTTTGTTTGCTTATTTTCAGCATTCTTCTGGATGAAAATAAGGCTACTATCCCTCATTTGGCAAATAAGCTTACCAATGAACTTGTGGGACATATTGCTGTAAGTAATGGAGATGCCATGCTAAGAAATATGCATCAGTTACTATCTTAAAAAAAAAAAAAAAAAATCCAACCCTTCTCCCTTTCAGCATCTTTTTTTTTTTTTTTTTTTTTAATTTTTATGCATACATATATGCTTATAATGTATGCATATATGCATACATTTTTATGCTTATCCTTTAACCTTAAACAATCCAAGGACAAATAGAGATGAGATTTGAAGAGAACAAAAACAGCAATCTGTTCTCAGATTTGCCTTTAGCTGAAGAATTGACGATAGGCAAAGTATTTCATCTGCTTGTAACTCATAACACCTGCCTTTTCACGAGCAGCTTCTGGTGCTTCTTTTTGTTTGTGAATATTGTTGATAGGCTGAGTAACAATTACTGCCATTAGCTTTCTAAAACATGATCGTTTCTACCAACTGAAAATGTCTTCAAAAATCCCAAGGAAGAGCTAATTATCTTATTAGACTAATATAAGCATATTATTTTTATTATTTTATACAAATATATCTATAAATAGCACGTTATTCCATGAAGAGAAAATGCTAAAGCACAGGGACCTGAAGGAGGAAAAAAATCTGTATTAATGTGAACTTATATAAAAAATAAAGCAACCAAAGAGTTGAGTTCAATCACATATTTGTTAGGAATGGAGGGATCGGTATACTCCTTACATCATGAGCTGTCATGAGACACCTTTTGGCCCACTGTAGGTGAAGTCTTGCCCTAGACTGCAGCTCCTCTGCTTTCTGACAGTGATGTCAATCCCAGCATCTCAGGGAGCCCCCAGCCTTCTCTCTATGATGGTCATATTTCCCCTGTGGTGTTATTCCAGTTGTTCCTGGAGAGATTTTTGGTTTCATTCCAAAATCAGACGTGTTCAGGCTAACTAAGAGTCCTTCTTTCCTGTCTGCCCTCCAGAAAACTTTGCCTGCAATGGAGATCCAAATACATGATGTGCTGCAACAAGCAAAGAAGGAACTACAAAAGTACTCACAAAGCATACACAAAACTGACCGTGAGAAGATGGTTTTCCTTGCAGGAGTAAGTATTAATACTGCTTCAGTTACAGAGCAGAGCAGACCCTTCTAAAGAAAGCAAGGTAACAGAATGGACCAAGGAGATTCTGGAATCTGTCACTGAGGGGTCTCAGTGAGTAGACCCCTGAGTATGTGAGTATCCTGAGTAGAATCACAGGATATCCCAAGTTGGAAGAGGCCCACAAGCTCCAGGTTCCACACAGCACAACCTGAAATTCAGACCCTCTGTCTGAGAGCATTGTCCAAATGCTTCCTGAACTCCAGCACTTGGAGCTGTGCCCACTGCCCTGGGCAGCCTGTTCCTCTGGTGCAGAACCAAGCAACCAAGAGCTAAGAGCATGAAAGATACAAGGAAATGATGCCTTCAGTCATGTCTGTGATATCAAATGTCTGTGGATTTAATGAACACCTACAAGTTAGTCTGAAGAAATAAAGCTTCAGTACTTTGTTTTTTGTGTTCCTTTTTGATTCATTACAGTTGATCAAAGTGTTTAATGAAGATATCTCTCAGGCAATGTACGGAAAGGAATCCTGGTTTGGAAATGAAATCAGATTGTTTCCAAAAATCCGCAGAGAGTTTCATACATGGGGAGTAAAGGTCCTGGAGAGCTCTGCCAAAGGTAAGCATAGAAAATCTGAGAGATTCCATTCCCTATCTTTTACATTAAGAGACAACATCATCAATATGTTGTTGTTTAAAAATAATAATAATAATCTAGGAGGAGATGAAATCTGCAGTAATGTTTTAGTTACACATTGGCCCTTAGGGACAGAGAGACCCAGCTTGTGCAAATCACTGTCCTTACAGAGAGATCATTTGACTTCTCCCCAAAAAAGCAATAAAATAAAGACTGGCTTTGGCAGAGAATTAACTGCTGATGCTCTGAACTATTCCTCTAAATAACAGCAGCAACCATAATAAAAATAATACTTACATTATAAATTAATTGTTGTTGTCATTAATGTTTTGGCATTTTCATCTTCTGTTCAGCTCTTGTTTAAGATGGGGGAGAAACAATTCCAAGTCTACAATAACTATAACCCTGTAAGGAGTAGCCCTTTTTGTTTTTGGAGATAACATAGCAACGTTTGCTAGTCAAGCAGTAACTCTTTAATCAAGTTTAGTCTTTGATGCACATTTATTTTGTCAACATCTCTAGTGGCTATAAAACAATAGGTATAAACAGGCTGTAGACAAATGGTCAGCCAGAGGCAAATACTATAGGGAGACAGAACAGACACTGCTGTGTCATTGTTTCTCATGTCCTGTCCATGGTGTACCAACATGACTTTATAGAGGGGGGGGAAAAAAAAAGAGTAAGCTAATTAAGGCACTGAGCAATGAGTGCCAACTTCCTTCTGCAGTAAATGTGTTGCTTTAAAGATGAGTTCTACTGAAGAGCATTTTCTAAGAGACTTCTTTCTTAATCAAAAAATTTATGAAGTAACCTAGTAGTAAAGCAGTGTTATTTTAATATTACAGTTGAAGAAATCATATGCAGTAAAGCGTCCAAATATGAACACCTGTACCGTGGATGGGAGTTCCCGGGCTTTATCAGCTACTGGATATTTGAGGACATCATAAAAGAGCAAATTTCAAAGCTGGAGGAGCCAGCTGTTGTGATGCTGAACAAAGTGATCTGTACGTCTCACAGGCCACACAAGGCCATCACATGGGTGACACTGGTGTACCTGGTAATTTTGTGTCCAGAACAAGCCACTTATCATTAATGGAGTAAGAGCTCCAGTTGGGATGCCTTAATGTGGAAGTGAATCCCACTCAAACTGTGAGATTATTCCTTCTCTAGAGCTGAGACCTCAAATCTCTGCATATGACCTTAACAATTTTTTAGTACGCTTCCCCGTGGCTGGGAATGGGGAATTAGAAAGTAACTATAATACATAATACTGTAAAGAAATAGTATCCTGGAATGCTATTTGGTGCCAGCTGAGCTGGCTGATATTGCCAGGCTCAGTTAATGGGATTCATAAACCAGAACTGGGAATCCAACTTCTTTGCCAGTTCTTTGCATAAGGGTATATATATTGCACAGTGACTAATGGGGGTGGGGGAAGGGATAACTCATCCCATAAGTATCACATAAGGAAATAGTACGTCACAATCATTTCTCTGCCATGTTTGCTTTAGAAAAGAGCTACAGCATCTGTGCCAATCAGGGCCCTGTATTACAGGCACCAGCCCCTCTCCTTGGAGTGGCCACTCGGCCACATAGGCACATCTGCCTCTCATCCAAGCGATGACCCACCTGGTCAAACTGAAAGCACATAGATTGCTTTATCTAAGAAGTCTCAGGGATATTAAATATCTGACATGGTGAGTGGTCTTTAGTGACTCATGCACACAGGCCTAGAGATCTAAATTCCTTTTTGTTTGTATGGTCATAAAGGTGCCTTACATCAGGATGGATACCCAGCTATTTTAGCATGAACACAGAGAGACAGTGGTTTTTCCAGGCCTCATATTGACAACAACTTAAAAACCTCATTTTCTTACCTGACTTTGTTTTGTCTGTCTGTTCTTCCCTTAGGGATGGTTGAAGAGAAATTTTTGCAGCTGGCTAACAAGCATTTTGCTAATTTTCAGAACTTAAACAAAGCTGCTAAGGTGAGGGACTAGCCAAAACCTGAGATAATTCAAGAGCAAAACAGAATGACGTTTGTAAATATAGCCACGCTGATGGCACCTATTCCATCTCATTACATGCAACAATGTGATTTCCTGACAGTCTATGATTTTTTTATAAAGACATTTCAAACAACTGCATGTTTGTAATGGCACTAATGAAAGCACACTCTACCTTTTGGTGCAATGTTGACAAGATCTAAAGCATACATTCTCCATTCATTTTGGTCATATTCTTGACGCACACAACACAGTGCAAAGAAAAGCTGGTATGGCTGCCATGAAGAGCTTAGTAACTTCAGTTTTAAGTCCTGAAATGTTTTGTTAGCATGTGGGCAGCCTCAGAGCACAGTGCTTTTGCTTTCTGAAAGGCAAGCCAGTGTTAGCCTGGGCAGGCATCACACTGTTGATCAAAGGCAGTAGCAGCTAATGAGCAGGCCATTTAACCATGACAGAGTTAGAAGATCCCTTTTTGCAGTTTGGAGGTGTCTAGGTTTTGGGTGGATGCCCTTGAATACCTTTTCTGGGAAAGATCTTTGAAGAAGAGGTGAGAGGCCTGCCGTGAAGAACAACCCACACACAGGGCACTGCTTGATGGGAAACTCGTAGGCAAATGCAACAACTGTCTGCTGTGTAACTTGCACAGCCAAACCCTATTGAAGTCCCAGAACAAATAAACAGGAACCAAACAAGCTATTTCTGCCAAGCAGAGAGGTGCGGTGTCTTCAGGCATAACACAATGAGAGGAAGTGTAGCAGAAACACTAACAGCCTGAAGGAGTGACCTGGTGGGAAGGCAGGGCCAACCTGGGGAGCTCAGGTGCAATGCACCTGAGTGACCAGAAGGGATGGAGCTAGGATCCACCCCTTCCCAGACCTCATTTAGGGGCTGGCAGTGGAGATCAGTTTATCTTGGTGGAGATCCTTGCTTACTGGAAGACTTCCAAGGTAAGCAGCTTTTCTTCTTTTGTTGCTGCATCCACAGCTGCTGCATTTGGGCTTGTTCTCATTTGGAGAACAATCTCACAAGGATTGTGCCACTGTGCTAATTATTGCTATACTTTCCATCACATTACAGAATTACAGGAAGGAAGAAAAGAGGAGATTCTGCTAGACTCTGAGGGAAAAACAAAAATTTTATTCTGATGTAGGAATGCTAAGTTAGCATTTTAAGAGACCTTGGATGAAAGAGGAGCTTATTGCCTCTGCAGGCAGATGGTAGCACCAAAAAGGTGAAAAAAAACATGTAATTTTTTTAAAAAAATTAAATTTTAATTTTAATCTAGATGCTAGATTGCTATGGGTTAGATAGGGCTGGTTTGATGACAATAGGTAAGAAATCATGCTTTTGAGAATGGTGGGAGGGGAAATGGAGCTCACATCAGTACTGCTGCTACTGCCTCCTTCAAGAAGGAGATTCAGCTGAAATGCATGCAAAAGCAATCAAAAACTGAGCAGGTGCAAAAACTGAGGGCAGGCTGAACTCATCACTGGCTGTTGTTGCTTGTTCCAACCAATCTTGGGATTTTCCTTTGGGATACAAGCACCAGGGTTAAACTTGATTTGACATGATCCCACTTGTTTCTCATGGGGGGACCAAACACCACATTTTTCTGCTCTTTCCTGGGAAAGGAACCAGAAGCTAAAACATCAAAGTATGCACCAAGGGCCAACCTGAGATTAGCAAATGCTGCTACTAGCAAGTTGCAGGTGCAAATACATCCACTTCACCACCCTGAGGGATGTTTCTGAGCATCTCAAAACTTGTTCTTTTCTTTTCCAGGCCAGAATTGGTTCCATTGCAGACAGACAAGCAACGACTGCGAAAAATTTCATCCTGACTCAATTTAAAATGGAGAGAATTGTATACTGCCAGGATAACATTTACGCAGATGATTTAAAAGCTGCCCGGGCAGAAAGCATCAACAAAAATACAAAAATCAAAGACCTTGGTCCTGCAATTGCTTCAAGTCAAGGTCCCAGCTTTGTCCTGGAAATGGTTTCTCACACAAAGGCCTATTTCACTGTAAGTCTGCAGACTGCAAGGCAGTACACCAATGCCCTTTGGCTGGCTTCTCCTATGGGAACAAGAGCTAGGGGGATGAAAGGACTGTTACTTACCTGCCTTGGGGGAGAGGAAAGCAAGGGGAAGAGCCCTTAGCCCTGTGATAAGAAATTAATGACATCTGGATGATGGCAAGCCCTATTGCTCCAGTAAAAGAGCTGTCAGATTCTAAACTCAGAGGGCAGGACGAGTTGTAATCAAATAATTGGTTAAAATGGATTTGGCTCTCAGTAGAGATCAGAGTGGCTATGCCACATCACATACTGCTCAGAAGTTAAAAGGAGATAAATGGGATGCTTTAACAAAAGATCATTTTAGAGCAAGACAGGCAAGAGAATGCACAGTATGAGAATATGCTTTTGATCTTTGTTTCATAAACTCCCTCAGTAAGCACCAAGTTAAATATTAATGCACTAACTTAGGTAGTGGTTCAATTTCAATAGAAAGGTTTCCGAAACATTGCTGCAACTAAATGTTCAGGCTGTTCTTCCAAGTTTTTGCATTGGGAAGCTTTCAGAGAGCAAAAGACAAAAGCAGAATTGCATAAAGTTCTTCCCTTCAGCCTCAGATACTTTCTACTATACCACAGAGTCTTGAAGGATAGTTGTATATTTGTAAATGCCCTAAACACCCTTTTTAACAGTAACCAAATACCAGGGCATCACAGCTCTTGCAGACTTGGAGCCAAATACATGAGATGAAATCAGATTAGAGCTCTTAAGTCCATGGTATTTGAAAATGGCATGCCTGATCCCATGTCAATTAAGAAAGGTCAAGATTCTGTGTAAGGTTTAGCACCAGAATAACAAAATACATAGGCTCAGTAAGCACCCTGCTGATTCTGCTGAATTGCTCCATTTTGACTAGATCTCTGCAAACTAGAAAGAAAAACTAAATATCTAGTCTTTGGTATTTTTCATTGTCCTTGTAGGTGAAAGATTTACATCTACAGCTGCTGAGCTAAAGCAGTATCTGAAGCCAGAAAAGACCAAGACTTTGCTGGAGATGGGTGGCCTAAGTCCTTTAGGACTTCCAAATCATATTATATGCCTCTACCTGATCTAGCTGCTGGCATCTTCAAGTCCTATGCCACCAAAAGAAAGGAAGATAGAACCTCTGTTATTTGTAGCCAGACACTCACGTTGAAGTGCTCTTCTAGTCGCAGAATAATTCTTATCAAGGTTAGCACAGAGAGAGATAAACTGGGAGTGGCCTGCCTTGGGTTTAGTTCACTGAGGGAGAAAAAAATAAAGCTACAGCTGCCAATCCCATAAATCTTAACTTCTGGATTTTTTTTAGGAACAAAAGGAATTAATGGTTTTAAAAGTGTGCAGTCACTTTGTAACAGAGCACCTATGGCCCGTTTTATCTTCTTTTAGGAAAGCAAGTCTTCACTTTTTTTTTTTTTTTTTCCCTCCTCCTTGTAGGGAGCAAGTAAACGCCTGAGCAATCAGATTCCTCTGATCATCCTCTCTACTGTTCTTCGTGACTTTGGAGATTATTTGCAGATCTCAATGTTGCATCTCTTGCAAGAAAAAGAAGAATTAAACCACTTACTCCAGGAAGATCATGAAGCTGCTAACCAGCGGAAGTTACTAACCAGCCAAATTAGTCGCCTCAACAAAGCCTACCAGTACCTAGTAGACTTTAAGTCTCTGTAGATTTCCTCATCTTTCAGAAGTATTTTTCTGCTTTTGCTTTCTAGCATTAATGAGGAGCTTCGCAAAATCCTCCAATGCAGCAACCTTTAATACCAGTTTCTAGATTTTTCTAATGATTTAGTGGTCTAGTTCTGTCTTAATTTCCATAGTCTGATATGCCTACCCTTGTCTAAGCTCCACTGCAGTAGTTGTGATAAAATGTTATCCCACTTTCAACCATTCATTATAAACTTTGTCTTCCATACAGCATTAAAATATATTTTTTAAAAGCTTGAGCTCTGAGGTAGGTGGTTTTGGTTTTATTTTTTAAGGGATGGGGAGCCTTCAGCTGTAGAACCCAAAAACTGTAAAAATCCTATCACATAACTTTTCTAGATCTCTGTGATTTTGCTGTGGTTGTTCTATTGCCTGCCTTGCAAAAAAGATACTCGTGCAACATGTTACCACTGGTAAGTTCCAACTCTGCAGATAAAGATGGTGCTCACAGTGTGTCTGAAACAGTTCCAGCCTAAAGGGAAATAACTACAGCTGATAAGTATACTCACAGGATGATGTTAGGATTCATTTCTCTTTTTTCTCTGACTTATATGGTTATGGTTAGAAAACCAAGATGTTTTTCTATTAGGTGCCTGGACCTCTGCCTGAGATTTTGGGGTTGATGATGGATTTACCAGACCACTGGATTGGGTTGTGTGTAACAGATTAATCCACAAGACACTGAACACTGAAAAGATGCCTCAGCACATAGCATGCTACCTGATATCTCCTCCTTCTCAGGCTGAGGAGAATCTTTCCAAAAGCTGTCTTTCATTTCATGGAAGGCAGTGCAAAGCACAATACTGCACATCGTAATTGTGACTTCTTTCATAAGGAGATTTTAACAGGCAAAACTATACTCTGCGCAGTGAGTGAGGGCTGGCTGCATTCTGCTAAAAAAATGTGCCTATTCCAGTTTGTCATGTAGCAGCTCCCAAGACAAGCAGTTCCCAAGGTTACAAGAGAAGCCTTCTCTTTGTAACATGGCAGCAAGGGAGGGCTGACTTCAGCAGCACAGAGCTCAACCCATTGGAGCATGCAGCATTTATAACCGTGTTAAGCACTACCAACAGTTTTCCACGTCTACTAGCAGCACAGCAGCTCACAAGCCCTATAAAAACCTGATACCATAACACTGAAACACATTTAATTTTTATTTTGAATGTGCTTTAAACTTATAAACTGCTTCATGGTATCCCCTAAGGGGCGCATGACAATCATGTGCTATTGAAAATACCCCTAGAGAAAACAGGCAGGTACACTGCTTTGGGCAGTGTGAGTTACAACAAATTAGGGTGCAGCTCCCTCATCCCACTGCTTTTCAGTCTAAAAACTTCCCCATTTACCTCCATCTCATAAGCCCAAGTGATTTTGGCAGCCCCCTCCCCTGAAGATATCTAGTATCCCTGACCAGCCAGCTCTATTCCCCTGGGTTTACTCAGGAACCTGAAATTCTGGAGTTAAAAAAAAAAAAAAAGCAAGATAACCCTCTTGCTTTTTCTCGTCCTGCTGCTTCTTTCTTGAATCAGCTTCTCAGAAGATTTCAGACATTGAGTTTAGCAACTGCTTCCAAGACATCCCAAACAAACAAACTGCTACAAAGGAAAATTATTTGTAAAAAAAAATATATTTTTTTATTTGGTGCAGTTTTTCCATGCAAGGTAATTGCATTTCAGTACCAACACAACTAGCGTCATTTATTTCAAGAAAATTATCCTTCTTAATAAAAGTGACTTGTTATGGCTTTTTGATCCTCTGTCCTATGATTATAAATTATTTTCCAAATCTTAGTCGAAGTGGCACTCTGATATTCATTGTATTTTGCTAAAAACATCATGCAGATACCTAAAAGAGAGCCCTAAAGTACTAAAAGCCAAATTTAATAAATGAGGTAGTTCATCTGGTTAGGCAGAAACACAGGCTTGTGTCTCCTCATCCAGAACACCCAGCCCCCAGACGGGCACTGCAGCCAGAGGTCTGCCGCCTGCAGCACACCCCACGGAGCAGCATCACATCCTCTGGATGCACGTGGCAGGGGACTTCGCTGGCAGGATGCTCAGCTGCCTCCTTTCTGCTGCAGCTCTGGAGCGTTCCTCTCTGTCACCTATATCAGGAGCGATGGCAGGTCCTGCCCTTTCAGGAGTCACAGCAGTTCGAGGCAGAAGAGCACTTTTAATTACTGAGAGGATCAGACTGATCTTACTTGGAGCAATCTGAGTTGGATGACGGCTGTCGTGATCCTGAGGATTTATAACTACCTGAATATACAGTTTGTATTTTTTTTTCCTGTGCCTCTACTAACATAGTGCATGAAAACTTCCCTTCATATACACCAAAAAACATTCATTTCTTCTTACATTGCCAGCCAGCAGCTCAGAGATTCAATATTCACATTACTTGACAGTTAATTTAAAACCCCACAAAACCAACTGTCTCAGAACCCTGCTACAAAAATCTGAAGTCGTGATTAAAATTTCTATTTTAAACCTGCACCTGATTACCAAGTGAAAGTTACTCAGCTAAAAAAAAAAATCTCAGCAAGCATTTAGCAGAATGACTTTCCGAGAGGCACCCCATCAATAAAGGTGCTTACTGTGATATTCCCTCACTGACTAAAATCTGTCACTGTAGCCAGCACATAATCCAGCGTGCAATCCTTCATGTTATTAAAAAAAATAAAAATAAAAAAATTCAAAGAGAAAAATCATTTGTAAAAGTGAATAAATATCCCAGGCACCCATGGCTTCATTTTCTCTTGTTCTCAGAAACACTGAATGAGAAATGGCGTTGTCATCTGTTGGCCTGTTTAAAAAAAAAAACAAACAAAAAACAAAGGCTCTAGCTGCGCTGACAGACCATCTCATCAATTGCTTGGATGCTTCTCAATGGAATAACTGAATGGAGTAAGTGATTAAAGTCAAGTTTCACGACTTGGGGCATTTAGAAAGATAGAAACATTTTACCTGCATATTTTTATAAATCCAGTCTGTAAACACAGTCATATTTCCATAAACTCCAGGCCTGTTGGGACTCGCGCAGCCAGTTCCCCAGCTGGTATCTCCAACCAACCACCACACCGAGTTTTTGTTTGTTACCAGAGGACCTCCGCTGTCACCCTGCACAAAACATTGGTGCACTGTTAGTGACTGGCCACCAGTGAATCATAGAATGGCCTGAGTTGAAAAGGACCACAAAAATCATGCAGTTTCAACCCCCCTGCTATATGCAGGCTCACCAACCAGCAGACCAGGCTGCCCAGAGCCACATCCAGCCTGGCCTTGAATGCCTCCAGCGATGGCACATCCACAGCCTCCTTGGGCAACCTGTTCCAGTGCATCACCACCCCCTGAGTGAAAAACTTCCTCCTCATATCTAACCTAAACCTCCCGTCTCAGTCTAAAACCATTCCCCCTTGGAATATGAGTTGGATTTCAAAAGAAAGAGCTAAAGTTAAGAGCTTTAGTTGCAAGAGAGCAACTAAAATAAAACACTATGTCAATTACTGTATTAAATGAAGACTATATGCCATAGGAATGAAAATAGTTTGCCCAAAGCATTAAACAAGACAGACTTTACTGACTTTCTTGTTCACAAGCATCCTGCTACAGTAATGTAGTGATTACAAAGAGCATTTGTTCATTTTCAAGTATGAGATTACCAAACATCCTTGAAGCACATATAAAAAGACTGCCTCAGCCTCTCAGCACTGGCCCCCATGCAGAGCATGACAAAAAGCTCTCCCTTCTACAGGATGTGCCACAAAATAAACTAGAAGCCCAACTAAACTGTTAGTCATATCAGTCAATTAGAAACATATTAAAAGTTCTATCAGTTTGGAATTAACTGATGATAAAATCCCTACTAATAAGAGCACAAAAACGATCAACCAGATCACTGTTAGGTGTTAGTTAGAAATAATTACCTGACAAGAATCAATTCCTCCTTGTAAATATCCAGCACAGACCATTGTAGGCAAGACCATGCCATCGTAGACATAGACAGAATTACATGTAGAACGTTCTATTAAGAGTACCTTGGCATAATTCAAGTCACTTGCTGTTTTACCTAAAATTGAAACAAGCATGAAAACACATAAAAACAAAGACAATATTAGAATAACCATCAAGTTACATTCCTATTACAAATTTCAGTGGCTAGCATTACTCAAGACAAAATAAAATCATGAGAAACTCAGGGATGGATGCTTAAGATGAAAAGTCCGTCATGCAGAAAATACCCTGACATTTAAATTCCTTTCCCAGGGGTTATTTACTCTGCATTGCTGTTAGTGTACTGTAAGTGAAGATAATAAGGACCTGCCTACTACAAGCCCAAGCAACTATATTAGCCGTAGGGCTATTAAAAGCACATGAACAAAGCAATGAATGAAAAAGTCCTCCTCAGTTTCGCGGTCCGGCACTAGGCGGCAGCAAATCCCTGTCCCTACCCCAGACCACAAACTTCATATAATCACAGAATCGTTCAAGACGAAAGGGACCCTTAAAGGTTATCTATTGCAAACCGCCCCCCCCCCCCCTCCTCCGCTGCAATGAATAGGCACACCTACAGCTACATCAGGTTGCTCAGAGCCCATCCTCCCTGACTTTGAATGTCTTCAAGGATGGGGCATCCACCATTTCTCTGGGCAACCTGTGCCAGTGCCTCACCACCCTGATAGTAAAAAATTTCTTCCTTATGTCCAATCTAAATCTCCACTCTTAGTCTGAAACCATTTTCCCTTGTCCTGTCACAACAGACTCTGCTGAAGAGCCTGTCCCCTTCTTTCTTATATCCCCGCTTTGGATACAGAAAGGCTGCTCTCAGGTCTCCCCAGAGCCTTCTTTCCTCCAGGTTACACAGCCCCAGCTCTCTCAGCCTTCTGATATTGCCTCTTTTTTCCGTTCTCAAGTCCCACAAATTGATCTAGTCTGAAGAGGACTGGCTGTGTAGAAGACCCAAATGTGTCAGAGCCATGCTTACCTCCTTGATACTCTGCTCCCCACCCAGATATCCAGCACTCCTCATTAGGCTCGAACATCAATCCCGGGTTAGGCAGACAAACTGGCTGTATATTATCTACAAAGCAAATACAGTGACAGTCTAGCCGCAGATGTCCAGGCATAATGCGAAACAAGTGGATACGACATTACTCACAGTGACCAGCATTTGCCTTAAGTACATACATGCTGTGCTCTTTTCTCTGTACTTTACCCCCATTGCAGCTAAGCAATACCCTGCA